TAAGTTTGCCCCCACACTTGAATGAAATTAACCATACTACCCTTCAACAAAATCTAAAGTAATAATGTACACTTTTGTTTATATATCTCTATATCAAACAATTTAACAACACTTAAAATTAATAACACTATTGCTAGCACACTATAAAAAAATCATGCAGTAGAAGTATAAATGCGATATATAAAGACTTGGACCTATTATTATTTCAATGTCAATTATGTCCTTTTATGTGCTCCTACGTGCTCCTATATGTTTATACGTTTTTACATGCTTTGTTATTTATTTAATTCAAATGTTTATTTAAATTTTATTATGTTTGTTTAGTTAATTTTATAATTATTTGGGAGGTGTTTAAATACCTCAAAATGTAATAGATAGGTAATATTTTGTAAAAAAAATTGTAATTAGATAGACTATTGTAATAGATAGAATAGATAGGTTTATTTTCTTATATTTTCCCAGTTTAGATTGTAGTCAGATTCCCCGCTGTAATAGATAGGTTTTGCGTGTTTACGTGTTTATGTGGTTTATGTGTTATGTGCTTTATCCGCTTTTCTTAAGATTTTTACATCTAGATATTATGTTTTATGTGTTATGTGCTACGTGCTCTTATATGTTTATTTGTTTTAATTTATGCCTTATTCGATTTATTATGTATTATTAATGCATGACTTCACCACACTAGTCCAACGCTAGTTGTAGCTTCTCTCTCCGCCTACTTGCTAGTCCAATGCTAGTAAGGTCTTTTAGAAATGGGTTAGTCCAACGCTAGACCCTTAAATCGTTCACGCATTAGATTTATTTTTTGTGTGACATTCATTACATTTTCATGCATTTTTTGTTTTAGGATATTTTCTCATTTGCATGATATTGCCTATTATATTATCCCCTACCCTATATATGTATTAATCATATCATTTAGGATTACATCTCATTTAAGAAATTGTAAAATAAGCTAGTTCATTTGCTTGTTTAGATTAAAAAAAATTATCTTTTGAACATGGAAAATGGGCAATTATAACCTTTTAGTTTAAATACCCGTTAATCCCTACACAGGAAAACTATGTCACGAGTTTTTGCTTCCCGTATCCATTATATTGAACTCCCTAATCCTTGATCACTTATATTTATATATATAATTTAATTTTCTTTTCTTTTGAATTTCAGTTTTGCATACTTGTGATCCTTTCAAGGGATTATTTTTTGCCTTCGCAATTAATGTGATCGATATCAATTAAACCATTGAATGGACATTTTGTCCATTTCGATACTTTCTATAAATTTAGATTTGCATCCATGTAGGAAACATCAAAATGTGATAAATTTAAGGGTTAGATTAGAGAAATTCTAGCTAAATCATGCAACAAGCTTAGATTAGGTTGAAAGGGTGCCTTAGATTTGAGCTGATCATACCTTTGGCTTCCGTTTCTTCAATTGTGACTGTCGAGTTCATTTTTCTCTTGTTTTCAAAAATTTGGAGTTGTTGAAAAGGGTTTTATTTATTTTTTTTTATCAAAAAATATTTTTTTTGGTGACTTGGTACACCCAAACTCAAACCAAGTGGTGACTCCTATTTTTCTTGAAAACCCTCTTAGACTAAATTTTGGGTCCAAACTGTCGCATTCTTTAAAGTCCTATTTTAGGTCTTTTTCACTTATTTTAAAATAAAAATCACATCTTTTGTAAACATGCTTTTCATCGCGAAAAATGGGGCGTGACAGTCAATTCTAAAAAATCTAAAATTGTGTTTAATTTGGCTTCTTTATTCACTGTTTTGAGTTCACATGAGCTTTTATCAAATTGAGCTCGATTGAATTTTTCACATACAAATTTGTCGCTTAAATTAGTGAGAAAATATTTAATCAAATAATTAGAAATATCATATGTGGTTATTTAGGCCACACAAAATATATATTCTAACATGATGTCGTCAACCAAGCTTATAGTTGGACAATAAGATACGTGAGATTTTATTCTTTGTTAATCATCCATTATAAGTTCTTTTTTATTCATCCATTACAATGGATAGCTTCTAGATATGCTGGATTATGCAAGCTAATGCTCCACAGTCAGGAGCAGCTGTTTCAAAACCATTTCTTGGGTTGCCCTTTGGCAACTAATAACACCAGCACAATCCATAAGGTCCACTAAATTTGCTTCATGTTCTCAATTTTCGCTTTAGGAGGACAAAAATAACAACCAGATCTTGATTCTCAGGGTTAAAGAGAGAGGAAGACTCTGCAAGTTTCTGCGTAAACAGTTCAAACAATTCATCCATGATATCACTTCCAAATTGTTTCTCTAGAAGTCCCTCTAATGCAGCTCTGAGGTACAAAGCAATTCCACTAGGGTTGGAGAAAACCACGTGCTTTCCTGGAATGCTTAAGGTGTGTTTGGATTGCTTGTTTTCGTCGGAAAATATTGTCGTTTTCCGTAATTACATTTCCCTATCCCCTTTTTCCCTCACATATATATCAAATCGCTACAGTAATTTTTTCATGAAAAATGACGGAAAATGCAATCCAAACACACTTAATATCTCCATTCTCTGAACATTTAGATGTTCATTTGTCTTCATCAGGGTCTCCATCTCATTAGGAGATGGGTAATATAGTGGCAAGTTGAACATATCCAATTTCAATTCATCGACCAATCCCTGCAATAGGTGCATCTTAGTATTTAAAGTACTTTTTTTTTTGTTAGCCAAAACCTATAGTCGAAATTCGAAGATAAACTTTGACCAAAACTCATTCTTATGTAGTATACTAGGGGGAGTGCCCGCGCATCGCGCGGGTGTTTGGTGCCTGTGGGGAAGGAAATTTTTTTATTGAACAAATAATAGTACATTGTGAGAAGGAATAAAATTGAGTATGAAATGATAAACGATATAATCAATCAATTTACACAGCGTTACAATAAAACTGTGTCAAATTGAAGGTCGTTGATAATGCAAAAAGGCAGAGCAACACAGAAAACTAATCTTATTCCAGAATCCCTACTGAGAACTCTTTCTTACTGTTGTTCCAAACCTATAAGATTATAACCAATCCACACCAATTAAGGTTAGGCAACACGAAAAATGCTATCTTGCAGTTAGGCAACGCGATAAAAGTTATTAATTGTAGGTACTAAAAACACACCGATAAAATTAAGGGAGGAATTGAAAAATTGGGGGGGCGGTGAAATCTAATCTCACGTTGAACCACCAGGAGTAGCAGGGATTGAAGAGCATTCTGATTTGATTAGTATGAAACCAGATAGAATTATCTCAATCCTAGAACGCGAACAGAAAGAAACTGATAATCAACTGTTTAAACATTAAGATACCAACGATTCGGCAATTGAATTGGGTATAATTAATGACGAAATAATAGGTAATTTCAGAGTTGAGCTCGGACGGAAGAGGCAAATCGTTGTAGACAAAGACAAAAAGAGAAAACTTAACTCCTGAAACTGTAAGGGGATAAAATGACTAACGTTTCTGACTCATAAATGCAGATTATAAATGATAGAGAAATGGGTTCCTACCATTGATAGAGAAATCGTTTGCTCATTTCCTAAATCCGATTGCTATTCAAATGTTTTAGACAAACCAATATCTCAAACGATTATTTGCGGCTGAAAAGTGGAATTATTGATAGTTAAGGGATATTCCGGTAATGACACCAACACACAAGCATATATGGGTTGTACATAATACAAAAATGGTTGCACACTAATTACACATTCCATCAATACTCATATGGTTCATCAATGATAACTTTAAATGTATTAAAATGGGGTCTTTCAGTAAGCATACCCAAATACATGTTTCCTTAACTTGTACCTAAAACTTTTAAACTAATACACAACATTTCACATTTCCAGAAAGACCCACCTATGCGATTGAAATCTAACATATTTTTTAATCAAAACTCAATCTTATATAGTATAAGGATGCAAAATAAAGAAATTGTAAAATTAAAAATTCCTACTCATGGATTTGCAACTGCTATTTTTAAGCTGAAGACATGTTTCAGAAATTATGGAACATAGTTAATTCCTACTCATGGAGGTATTCCATTCATTCTCTGCCATTGGTATATTATGCCTGATTTGGTTGATTTCCTGTGTCTATTTTGTTTCATCCTGGATATTTTTATTAATCAGAAGAAATGTTGGAAAAAGAGATTGGTGCCTTGTTGTGACGCTTTTGGGCCAGCATTAATTATCTGGTATGATTTCTATTCTGTCCATGTTTGTTACAAGTAGTAAATTTGACATATGAAGCTCACTTCCATCCAATACTTTGTACCTTTTTATTTCAGCGAAATAAGTACATAAGTTTAGAGGGTAAGGACTTAATATCAAAATAATGTCTTATATTTGCAAATAGGAATGAAAAACGAACGAAACTATATATTATACTTGAATTGATGTTGAAATAGTAAAAGCTAATTTGCGCTTAGTTCACCAATTAATCAAACCAAACACAAACAATATTTTGTATCCAATAAAATTTCAAATTTGAAATCGAGCTTGGCTGACTTAACATAGTATATGAAATTTATATGCGAAAAATTTAATTGAGTTTGACTTGATAAAAGCTAATCTAAATTCAGCGTAATAAATAAATGAATTAAATTTAAATACAATTTTAAACTCTTTAGAATAGATAGACAAGTTTGACAACTTGAGTGCTTGGCTCAATTAGCTTCATTCATAACCCTATTTGCAAGTAAAAGTTTTGCAATTTTTTTGTGGGGCAAATAAAAAATGTCAAAAATATTTCCACAGAATACCAGATTCTCAATTCTCATGCTTGGGGAGAAGGGTAATTTCTTAAGACTAATTATAATACAAATAAACCTTTTAAAATTCATAAGAGGGAAAATGAAAATTTTAAAATTCTTGAGGGGGTGGCTGCCCCTCCCTGCAAAGATCCAATCCAACAAAACCCCTGTCCCGCAGGTTCATAGAAGTGTTAAAAAAGAATTCCAAATGTCATTTGAATTCAAAAATGAATAATTTAACTATCTAAAACTATCTAGGATATATTAGATCATAATTCAAATTTAATATTATTCAAGTGACAAAGAAAATCAAAATTCTATGTTGCATCCCTGCATTGAGATGTATTCGCATAGAGTTCTTAGTTGAAGAAGATCTGAAACTAATGAGATCTAACCTTTTTAGCCAAGTCCATGAGGCAATATCCTAGAACTTCTAATTCTTTCTCTGTGACGATAGTTGTCTGAGATTCACGGATGGCATCAAGGACAGCAGGAATAACAAGGGCCATCAGCCCTCCATCGACGAGCTCGTGTGCCCTTGCATTCAGAAATGACTCCAAGTCCTTGGCAAATTGAGATGCATAAACCTCAAGAACTTCCTTTTTGGCCCCTCCGTAGTGAATCTTTCCTTTGTTCCATGCAGGGGACTTGTTGTCTGTGACCTCTTTTGGCACATCTGAAAGCCAGTGAAGCGCTCAAGATGAGTGAGCAGAATGAAGGGATGCCTTTGGGAGCAAAACCTTGTGAAAATCACCAGGCACTCCAGCTGCAAGGTAGTGTCTCTCTTGTGGAAGTGAAGCAAAAAGTGTGTTGAAATCATTAGATATATGGTCATTAAAAAAGACTTGAAACTCAGGGACTTCAGATGCTAGTCCCTCTTTTCTGAGTTTTTCCTCCAGGGCTTCTCTTATGACTTTCATGGCCACAAATGTATTTGGTCCTGTAGAGCAGCCAAAATCTGCTATGCGAAATGGATGCACAGAGGTTGAAGAAAGATGCTTGACATCAAGTTCTTTGTCAATCTCTTCATTGATAAGTTCTTTTGCAACCTCTACTGCTCCTCTCTGCCACCAAAAAAAAAAAAAAAAAAATCTTTATACTTACATACCTTAGACATTTATAATGAGGTAACTGCAGTTTAAACTAGCAACCTGAAAGGATGAGTTTTGGTTATAGCTTTGAGGTCCATTTCCTCCATTCATGGCATATACTTGAGGCATTTTTTCTATTCCTCGGCTGCTAGGAGATTTTTCATAAGAGTAAAAATGCTCCCAATTTTTTATTCTCTAGTTAGAATGAGAAACAATTTAGATAGTTAAAAGGAAGGCAGACGAAAGGCTGCCTTATCGTCATTATGAGCCACACAATTTTTTAGCTGTAGCAATTATAAAATAGAAAGAATCCTTCTATTATTCTCAGCAATGTGGAAGTCTCAGTTAAAAATGGAACTCAAATGGATTGCGTGTAGCGAGATCGAGGATTTGATGCCATATATATATATATATATATTCTCTTGCCATGTCTTGATATCTCTGTCTAGATGGTTTAATTTATACTAGGCAGAGGCTCAGGTTCAAGTGTTGTGTTTTAGCCCTTTACATGGCAGGCATTTCTATTAATAAATATGGGAAAAAAAGAGATACGCATATGGTAAAATATCTCTCAAACATATGTTATGAATCATTTTGTACATAAATTGAATTTAATTTAAATTATACAATTTGTGCATGTAAAATTATCAATTATATGCTGATAGGAAATATATCCTGTAGCAACTATATTACAATAGGAAATATATCTAGAATGACGGCTCAAGACTTGGAGTACACCTATGTGGAAAGCTGCTATACTATTCATAGGAAAGGCAAAGACTTGGACCTTCTTACCAAGGTAAGAATTTGTATGGTACAGGAAATTAAGAAATTATTATTAGAAAGTTTGTTGATAGTACTGTTGTTACTGCCTCCTTAAACTGGAATATTAGCTTAGTGACATATTTCTGGTCTTCCATAAAGGATTATTGATGTGCATTTCTGTTCAACCACATACATTGTTTTTCTTGGCTGGCAATTGACTGATTTGTAGACAAACCTAAAACTATTCCCTTGTTTCCTCTTGCCCCCCTGTGGTTATTGCCTTCTGGTCCCATTCCTGACAAATACAAGTTGGTTTAACAATCAACGCGTAATTGGCTCCAAATCTTTTCAAAGGAAGAAGTAGGTGCTTCATAACACGATTCTCATCCTAATGTTGGCAAGAAAGGTTAAGAGCATTAGTGTCCAAAAAATTTCACGAGCAAGCTTTTTAAAATTAATGAATATAATTAAGAACAAAGATCCAATCTTATTTATTAGGGCAAATTACACTCTACCCCCCTTTGGTATAGCTGATTTTCACGTAACCTCCCTCTAATTTTAAAACCTAAATACAAACTTCCCTCATAATTTGGATTAAAGTGTCAAAATGACGGAAATGATCATCCTTAACGGAGCCTATAAAAATGTCAAAATTACCCTTGTTTAAAAATTAAAATGGTTTAAGTGACCAAAATATATAAACATAATATGCATGACACTTCAATCCCGTATATATAATTCTATATTTTACCATATAACCCCCTTATACTTTACCATATAATTCTCTAACGGTTTTCAATATTTATATATATATACATAACTCCTGTGATTAATAAATAATTTTTAACTTTACATACAAGTATTTTTTATGTTTTAGTTGACTCCGTTATGAATTGCAAATTCCGTCATTTTGACACTTTAATTCAAACCATGAGAGGATTATGTATAACTTTTGAAATCATAGGAGGGGTTACGTAACAAAACACTAAACCCCAGGGGAGTAAATTATAATTTGCCCTATTTATTAAAAAACTTGCTTAGACTGCCTGGGATTTAGCCTTTTTTTTCTTCTTTGCCCCCTTATAACTGGACAATGGGATGGTCTGGCTTTATCTCTCCTCTCTGTTCCCCTTCCACATTTCTTGGAGGAATACTTGTTCTTAGCTATTAATAGCAAGTGGTATTGTTCTCCTTAACTGCAGCCTGGCTCTTCAGAAATCAACCTTGGGAAGTTCCTTTATTAAACTAATTGATATTGTTATTCAACACAAGGTTGCATTGTTTTCCACTTTTTAATCTTTCGCAGTCTGAAAGCAGTTTTCTCTCTTTGCATGATTTAGCCTACAGCTCTGAGTGTTATGAAGTTGTAACTTCTAGCGCCGCAGTTGGTCAGGAATTTGATCTTGGTTAATAATATTTTCTGACTCTCCTCTCTTTTTTTTTTTCTTTGAATTCTTCTTTCCGCCTTTTCCTGTGAATTTTTTCATTTTATTCAGATGTTATAATTTTGTTCCTTTTTTCTTTTAGCATTAAGTGTTATGATATGTTATAAGCCTTCATTTTTTGTTACAAAAAAATTGTTAACTAGGCTTTTTTTAAAAAAAAAAAAATGCTCATGACTTCAACGTCCAAGGAATTTGCCAAGTAAAACGAACAAATATGTTGGAGTGCACAGCAACAATAATGTACAAGTTTAAAGCTTAAAGCATTGTATTTGTAGATGAAGGGCAGAGCTTAACACAAAGTTGATTATATTAAGCTCATTAATAAAAATACAATGCTTTTCAAGTCAGCAGCTTCTGCTTTTTATTAAGCTAATTAATAAGATAGCTAACAACAGTACTATATTGGGCTGCATTAATGATGTGTTCAGTTTATGCTTAACAAGACAGCTAAATAGTATTTATTCAGTCAGCAGCTGCATTAATAAAAGGGCAAATTACATTTTACCCCGTGGTTTAGCGTTTTTCTACATAACCCCCTATGGTTTCAAAATCTATACATAACCCCTTCATGATTTGAATTAAAGTGTCAAAGTGATGGAAATAGTCATTTGTAACGGAACTTCTAAAAAATGTCTAAATTACCCTTATAAATACATAACACACTAACCCGGTATGATTTTTATATTTTACCATATAACCCCTTATAGTTTAATACTTTATCATACAACCCCCTTATGGTTTTCAAAATATACAAATAACCCCCTTGGTTAATAAATAATTTTTAACTTTACATAAGGGTATTTTTGATATTTTAGATGACTCTGTTACGAATGATCATTTCCATCACTTTGACACTTTAATCCAAACCATGAGGGGGTTATATATAGCTTTTGAAACCATAAAGGGGGTTATGCAAAAAAAAAAATGCTAAACCACACGAGGGGTAGAGTGGAATTTGCCCTTAATAAAAAGCAGCAGCAGATAGAGGGATGATGAAGTTCTTTTTGTGAAGGAAATTCAAGAACATTGCAGCTCGCTGGTGATCCAGACAGAGATCCATCTTTTGGCAAGCATAAGACTTTTTAATATTAGTAAACTTGACCTTGTCAACGCTTGTAGTATTAGTACATATTATTATCTCTTCAAAAAAAAAAGGCTTGTAGTTCAATTACGTTTTCATTATTTCTTGGAAAATCCCCAACCAGATCTGGTGCACGTTTACGCTGTAAAACAAGTTGTATTTTTTAAGGGTCTAATGGAGTTTTTTTTTTTTTTAAAAAAAAAAAAAATTTTTTTGGGACCCATAAGCAGCATTTAAGTTTAACCACAGACAAAAGAGAGGGTGTTGAAATCTTTTGAAAACGAGAAACAAGACGTTTACCACAAGCCTATATCAAATTCTCATAACAAAACTTAAAGCTGCCTATTTCAAATATTTTATGTAAATGTTTCTCATTTAAGTGAAGCATTTTAATCTTTCAAGATTTGTAGCAGTGCAGTCATCTACACAACTATTTTTTGTGAAAACCAGACGCCAATTGTTTCACATTACCCTGCAAAAGAGAGGCAAAACAAACACTATTGGTTTGCTATTAAAATCAAACTGTGTGCAATGTAATGGCTGGTGACACTTGCTGCAATCATTCTCATCCACATGCTGCTCAACTATGTCAATCACAAGATATTTTGGCCTTATGCAAAAAGTCATGTATAATCTTTGCTTGTTTTCTCCAAGAATATGGGCTGCACAGGCTAAACCACTGCATATTAAACTTGACATTCAAAAACTAGATGCTTTATGAGTCAAGGGATCTTGACAACTATTTGCTCACTCATATATTGGGAATATTCAGAAGTACTAGTCAATAGGTCCGGTATAGCATATTTCACTTCATCTAAATATCATTCTCACAGCAAAAACAACTAGATTCTTTGGGTCATCACTACCATTCTAACTAGATGAAGGAATCCAGGACTCACAAAAAAGCAGTGAGCAATGAATAGAGCAATAGGACAAGTTTAGTAGTTCCAGACATTTTTACAGGGACCGTATGTGCTTCATTTTCTGGATTGCCTGTTTTAACTTTGTCGATGGTTCATCACATAAAATGGTGGGATCAACAAAATCAGCAGCCAAGCTTGGTTCCCAAAGTAAAGCATGAAAAGAATCTCCCACTGAGTATGATAGGGAATTGAAGTTATATCCTCCCAAGAAAAAGACAGTTCCCACCACATAAATCTTTGGCAAGTTTTTTCATACTTGAAGCAAGGATGTAGTATGTCCCTGTTGTTACTTTAGGCTTGCCAATGGATCCAAGATATGCCCATCAAATCTGGAAATCTTTTAGTCACAACTCACAAGTGAATCTAGAATTATTTTTTTCTTTTTTAGGTCATGAAAGGAAACTAAGGCTTACAGTAACATGGAATACCATCTGGGATATGTTACCACTATGTACCAAAGACCTGCTAAAGTTTTCCATGTTACTACAGAACCAAAATTTGATATGTCAACATACCTCCTTGGATGCAGAAGGGAGAACAAATGAATGCTTGTTAATTCATTGAATTCATAATGTAGAGAAAACATACTATAGAAATATGTGAAAGAAAGCAAGATAGAAGAATAGAAATAACTCAAAAAGATTTACTGCCCACAGTTTGCTATGCAACTCTAATTTGTTTTCATAGAGAGTTTTCACAAATAGAAGATATAACAAAATATGGAAGGCAAAAGCTGAAGGACCCTAGAATCCGAAGTCAGAAATGGATGGATATGTTAGCTACATAATTACCCTGCTGAAATGAGGATTATGCCTGGCTTGAACCCACTGGTAATGATAGATTCAGAGTTGGCATCTGTTATCTGAGTAACGGAAGGTGTGTTAGGATTGTAGTCTGAGAAATTTGAACAATAAACACAACCTATACTAATCTTGAAGGATTATCCATTTTGCAGCTTCAGGGAAAAATATGCTTTTTGCATCAAATCTATACATGTGATCGTTCTTGGACATGCAAACCGCGTGCCTCATCTGAA